CGCAGACTCTCGATGGTGTGATTTGCAGTCAGGGGCACTGAGGCTGCACTTGTTCTTGCGAATGGGGGCTGGGTACCGGCATCCGTCAAGTGAAACCAGACCTTCGGCACTTCCACAACGAGCGGGTCTTCTCTGTTCAGTCCATAAGCGCTCAGTGCATCGTCCGCGTTCAGAGGCCCCGCAGCTTCGCTGTTCACGAACACTTTGAGGACTGCCTCGTCGATTAGACCTGGTGGAAGCGAGTCTGTGCAGCGTGCCAGCACCGTCTCGCAAAAGTCCCCGGCGTCAGTGCCGTCACGAACACGAACGTATCGCACTGGTACATCCCCAAGCTCAGGTTGAGGGCGACGCGCTCCATCAACCAGCCGGAAATATCTTTTTCGCTCCATCGTCGACTTCTCCTCAGCCCCGCAGAATCTGGAATGATACAGTGCTCCATGCGGTCACAATCGAGCGCTTCCCGCGCTCTGATCTTACTGTACCACTGTAAGTCTGAGAACGTAGGCTCCAATCTATCGGTAGTCTACTGTACCTACCTACGGTAGACTGGGTTTCTCGTGCTGCACTTGGAGGCAGCAACGGGGCGGAGCCACGGTCAAAATGGGGGGGGCATGCCCTCCCGTTTTTTGGAGAAAATTTCCCGATTTTGGTCCTCTTGCCCCTCTGTTTTTGGGATGCCCCCTATTTTTTTCGGGCTGGCTCCGCCGCCGGCGGGCATTGTCGGCAGGAGAGGAATTACTCTAGCCAAGTAGTTACTTCAAATTTTCAAAAAACCTAAGTAGGTTTCGGCAGCTATGTAAGTAGATTAGGACACATGAGTTAGTTAGTTAAACTATCACCATGCTACGCGCTCCGCGCGGACCTTCCACCCTAAAGGCTCGCTACGCTCGCTTGGACAGAACCCTAAAAAGCCCGCTTCGGCTCGCACGCGTCGCCTCCGCTTGCTAGAAGGGCAGTGCTGGGTCCTGGGTTTGCATCCGCGTGCTTCGCACACGGGCTGACAAACCGCAGGCGGGGAGCTCGCTTCGCTCGCTGTGTGTGATGGCCTGACCTACTTATAAGTAGCTCAACAATCTCCTCACCATTTTACATATGGGCGTTAGCTACTTAACACCCTGTCTCTGTAACAACCCGCACCTTTTCGCACTTTTTGGATGGCAAGTGTAAATTTCCAACATTTTTAAATCAACCTAAATTGGTCTAGCTTAGAGTTCAAAGGAAAGACCCGATCAAGAAATGGTAGATGCAGCCTTTGTAGACTCGCAGCACTGAAAATGGATGAGATACGATGGATCAAAGAGGCGAGACCTGATATGTGTCTCGTCAATGAGGCCCTTCGTCGAGGGGTATCGCAATCAATGTATGACATTTTGACCATAACCCGTCCATTGTGGGCATAAAACAAACTATAATGTAGCCATAATGGACAGAAAAGGCACATTTCATTTACACATTTCGGCAGATTTCGTACTTCCTTGCCCATTCATACCTTCTACTTGCGCTACGAAGGCGAAACTTCACAGTACATATTTTTATGCTGTCAGCACACTATGTGCCAAATTTCAGCTCAATCTGAGCTCTCGATCATAGGGCTTGTCATCTGGGGGGTGCGGGCAGGCTAGAGTAATTCGTCTCGGCAGGACTTACGTACACAGCCTATTTTCGGTATATCTTGTAAAGGCAGCCCATCACCCACCAATGTGACGATCTTCCCGCAGGACGGATGTCATCCGCGTGAAATGGCTTTGCTCCGCTGCGCTCCGCAAAGAGAGGGGGTGAATCTGCGGTGCTGCAGTGTAGACCCCCCGCAATTAGAAAACTAGCACCGAGTTGCAGCAACGGGTCCATCCGCTGGAATGCCTGGTGCAGGACCTACCTCCGTAAAATCGCGCAGACCTGCTATATGGGCACTCCGCGCAGGTTTGCTTGCTATGGCAACGTGCTTTCACAACACGACCAGATGAGCCCATCACACCCGTCCCACTGCTTTCTGTCAATACAAATCCTACATTATTCTGATCTGTGTTAACAAGAAACGATACAGCCATGTGCATGTTTATTAGAAAATTGGGATACTTAAGTACAATTTTTCCGGTAGTGTGGGTGCGTAACTAGCGGATTTTCCCGAATACAAGACCTGTAGCAAATAGAAGTCGGGTCAGGAATAGGTTGGAGTGCCTGAAAATAGAAGTCCTGTATCAAATACAAGACCGGACATCTATTTTTTATAAATGTACTCGAACATTTAGTTTTTAAATGTTTGCCCAAACTCTGTTTGCTTTGGAGCTCGAGCTCATTCCAACCCTATTGGTTTTGCTTCACAACGATACGATGTACCTGGAAAAAGCAATGAATTGTGGTCGTCAACCGATCTCGCTACATGTACTCACTCCATCAGCATTGCTGTCTTAGACAAATATCTATTAATTCGTGTAAACTGCTTAAAGAAGATGAAACTGAATGACCGTTGATCTTTTTCGTGACGAGCATTGAACGCCTACTTGCGATTTTGCAGCGTGTTGCACGGCCTAGAACTTACTTGTGCAGCCTAAACACTTCGTTCAAAACCATTTTAAGCTGCTGCTGCTGCTGCAAGTGCAGGGCAAACGGATAGCGGAAGCCTTTAACCCCCCACGGCTAATGTACTCGAGGGGCTGCTTCTTACCCAAAAGCTTATCGATGTGAGTTTGAGCGTACCTCCAGGCACCCTGATTTAGCGGCTCTACCTAAGCCTAGACAAAACTTCTTGGCATCTCGACTTGGCCAGCTTGTCAGTCGTACATGGGAACGGCGCCAATTCTTTCAGACGAACCAATGCGATACGAACCAATGCGATGGTCTTGGGGTTAGTACGGACCACACTATGTGACCATACTAGTTTTGCCTTCCTCCTGAGGCGCCACCAACCCACACTAATTGCATGCGTTCTCTAAAGGAGCCAGTCCACTCATTGCGGAACCAAACAAAGAGTGCATTTGTATAAATGCGAACGGCGAGTACGTGCAGCGCTGCGGAGGGGACATTATGAGTGTCTTGGAGGAGGAGGAGAAGCAAGATAACCACGTCCTGTGTTGAGCATGTCCAGGGTCCGCTGCTGCGTTGAAGACACACCACCACGGGCGGATGTGCCGGGAAGGTAGACCATCGAGCTCCGATGAAGAGATACAACTGTAGCTTCCGCGGCACGAGGCGTACTTGAGCAACTATAACATGTACGAGGATGAAGATTGGACCGAAGGCGGAGAAATAGCATGCGGACCGATGCACCCATGTTGGAAAGTATTGGTGCGAACCTTCGAAGCAATTCTCTAAAATTTACTCGGCGTCCTCTAATCGAGAAAGTATACTCAAATCAAGTGAAATCGTTTAATAATTTCCGAAATCGGATGGTTTCTTGAAATTCACGTAAAAGTAGAGGCTTTTCGGTGGAGTGGCGAACTGGTTGAGCAGGATATTTATTCTGGGATAGCAGTAACCCCGGAGGGAGTGCTGCCCGGCAACTGGCTCCGGTAAACTGAAGCCGGTAACTGAAGCCTGCGAACTGAAATATACTGAATAGGGGGTTTCAACATCAACGAAAATGCGGGATTTTGCGAAATACCTCCCGAATTGCCCCTAGGTACCACTGTATTTCCCCGAAGTACCACTGTATTTCGAGCCCTTCAAATCCACCATCTCGGGAGGTAGTGGATTTGAAAATCCGTGATATGATCATACCAGAGTATTTCGTCTAGGCTCAGTCGAGTTGTTTGGCTCGCCTGCTGTGCATTCTGTATAGAGACACAGAGCTACAAGTTGTAGATGTAGTCTGCAACCGTCCCAGCGGTATGTGAGCGATAGATACAGGAAAATGTTTGCCAAAAACGTTGAATTCGTCTCCAAAAGATATTTTAACTCAATTGCAGCCTTTGAAAGCCGTTTCCGGGTCAATATCGATGTTACGCTCATAGGTATCGCAGTACACGTTGCTACATCGATGTTGGTTGTCTACCCTCCGCCTGCGTGTGCCTTCAAGCAGCCTACGGAGCCGGACGAGGCGCGAGGCTCGGAAGATCCCTGTCACCCCTGGTCGACATCGCAACGCGCCAGTCAAAAACGATGTTGTGGACCACACAAATGCATGATAGGTTTAGAGTTTTTGGTCCTACTGTATTTCGGCAGAATACCACTATTCAAAATGCAGCGGGTTTTGAAGTGCCAAAAAGTTGATTTTGAAACCCCCTAATATCTGCGTTGGGATGACGCGTTCTCCATCAATCTCGAATCTTGGCAACGGACACAGGTCAACAATTATAATATCCTATTTGAAAAAAAGACTATCGCTTCTGCGGAGGCACCCTCCAACATGTCATTGATAGTTTTAGTGCTGCTATTTAGGCTGCCCCCGGTGGGTATCATATGAGACCGCGTCAAACGAAATGGTGCTTACGAACCTAAGTACGAATCGCGATTTAACCGCATCAATCGAAAGAGGCGTGGCTTGTGCTTCCTTTAAGCTATCGAACAGTCCAAAGTATTGAGAACTCATGGAGTAACATCGCTCTGAAAAAAGTATCTCCATTTTCGGACCTCCGAAATCCCTGATGTTATTTGGGGCGTGTGACCTCAATATTTTTTCGATTTCGACCTATTGTATATGATCGGAAAGCTCATGCTAAAAGCAATCAAATAAGAGTGATTTTACGCGTTTTACGAGTAGTTTTCATTTTCAAAATTGTGATGTCCGGTTATGTCCGAAATTTGATTGGTCAACTTCGAACGCGATTATATTATAGACGCGTTACCGGGCAGATGCTGCGGCTGCGAAGCAGGCGCAGTAGATGCCCGTAGTTAGAATCAACTAATCGTGGAAAAGGAGACCCGAATACGATTCATTGTGCCCAAGTTTATCCGTTAATAGAGATTATCACCACGAGATGGTATAAAAAGGCTATTTCCTCTGAACGAGCCGCTCTATTTTATTGGCACCTCGGTTAATGGAGCTGCAAAAGCCCACAGCTAGAGTTCAGGGCACATGAAATCTAGTGACGAAGTTTGAGCAAGAAAGGTGTAGTAGTTCTCTCTCTACGGGGTCATAAGCTAACAATGTAGCCATCTACTACAAAGGAATTAGGAGCGCAGCGCTGTCGATAAAATGTACCTCACTTCCCGCTATTTTGATGGCGGTACTTAGCTAAAAGATCATCAAGAAGTAAAGAAAAGCCGCACCGCTAATAACGAATGCGGATTTGTACAGGATTGGTACCTCCGTAAAACGTACGCTGTATCGTCGATTGTGTTGTTAATTATTAGTGCCCTGGATTAATGGGTAGCACAACTTTGCATGAAGTGGTTACACGTGCGCCCCGTGTAGGTGCTCATATCTCCGTAGGTGAGGTAGTCTATCGGTCCTACGGTCGGCTGCAGTCCTTACTAGTACTTGGCTGTGGTTTGGCTCATTTTGGGGTCGATTCAGTAAAGTGCGGATTTAGTTGGTCTCAGATGTTCAGGGGTACCGTCGCATCTCGTGGCGAGAATCTCTGTTAAAAAAACAAATTTTGTCCGTGTCGCTGCAAGCTGAACGAATGAATGAAGGGGATTCAGTTGAGGTGTCATTAAAATGAAATAGGTGTCACTAAAATGATTTGCTTTAGTACCGGTACTCCACCGTCGGACAGTTGGAATTTTGACGGTACATGTATCGCTACAATCCCATATCTCATTCCAAGGAAGATCAACAATTCAGTTTCCCAAGAGCGTACAACCAGCAATTATATTGTGTATTGTGAACGTTAGTGCGCCTTACGCTCAGGGAATAAGTGATCTACACTCTCCAAACGTGGTCCACACACACTACCCCTAGTAGTGGGCGGCCACTAATTGAGCTCCTACTTACAACCAGCAATAACCAGTTAATCAAATCATCAGTTTTAGTATGGCTACAATCCCGTGTACATATAGAATGAATGTCGTTCGACGTCATGCGAAGCTACGAATGTAGCGCGAATGACGTTTGATGTAGATTCTCAATTTACAGTAGTCGACAGCATCGAGGACCCATAAATGACCCTATCCAAATTATACATATTTGAAATTAGCGTTTCAAACCTGAAAAAAGTAAGACTCAATCACTGCTGTGCGGTGCGTAGAACACACGAAACCCTCATGGAAAGGAATGACAATATAATACTGAGTTCAGTATGTAATCACGATTACCCGTCTTCTCTAATAATAGTATCGTATAGGGTTTGACACCTTATCAAAATATGAGGTGCAAATCCAATGCACTGATTGACTGAAAAGCTAGTACGGGCTAGGTCAATTCTTTCGAGGCCACTTTTGGTCCGTCCATTTTTCGTTGTGTTAAGCGTTTTTAGCATAGATAAAGCTCAATGAGCTGAAGCGACTGGTCCTATTTTTATCAAAATTGACCAAATATTGATTACGAGCTTATGGGTCCTCGATGCTGTCGACCTGAAATGGTTCTTCAAACTCAATAGTGGTTATTTAACAACAATGTAGTGAATAGTTTGAAAAAAAGTAAATTCGGCTGTTTCGTCGTTCCACCCATTTCCGGATTCTGCGGCGGGAAGTCGACGATGGAGCGAAAAAGATATTTCCGGCTGGTTGATGGAGCGCGTCGCCCTCAACCTGAGCTTGGGGATGTACCAGTGCGATACGTTCGTGTTCGTGACGGCACTGACGCCGGGGACTTTTGCGAGACGGTGCTGGCACGCTGCACAGACTCGCTTCCACCAGGTCTAATCGACGAGGCAGTCCTCAAAGTGTTCGTGAACAGCGAAGCTGCGGGGCCTCTGAACGCGGACGATGCACTGAGCGCTTATGGACTGAACAGAGAAGACCCGCTCGTTGTGGAAGTGCCGAAGGTCTGGTTTCACTTGACGGATGCCGGTACCCAGCCCCCATTCGCAAGAACAAGTGCAGCCTCAGTGCCCCTGACTGCAAATCACACCATCGAGAGTCTGCGGAATGCAGTGATGAAGATGTACAGCTCAAGTCGCCTTGCTCGGGTTGCTGTGTCCGACCTCCAAGTAATCGACAGCGAGATGTAGGGGCCTTTGGATCTCGAGATGCCGATTGGATCGCTTGGTCGGACGCTGGCGACTGCGCTCATCATCGAAGTGCCACAAAACGTGGGTGAGCTGTACCGCCTCAGTATCGACCAAGAGCATACTTCTTCCGTCCAAACCTACCAAAACACTGCGCAGCTTCTCAAGGAATCGCTCGAAGTGAAGGCCGTGGTGAAACTTATCGAGAACGCGAGTGAATCTCCAAGTCCAACGCGGTTTGTTGTGCTGGAAAACTCGTCGGGCACCGGCAAGACGCAGATGGCGTTCAATCTGCAGGCCACAGAGGCTTGTGACGTGTTCTACGTGCTGTGCACACCTGCAGGTGATCGGGATCAAGACGTGTATCGAGCTTTCACAACGCGCACGATTACATTTTTGAGTTGCGTTAAGCACGATATGCAGAATGGATCAGCTCGCGGGGTTGGGACGGCAACTCGGCTGCATTTGCACGCCTTCATCGCCGCTGCGCTCCGTGGTGATGCCAATTTTCAAGGCTCAGCGACACGAGAGCAAGTGGAAGAAGCACTTGACCGCTGAAAACAAATGAGCGGAAGCAAACCACTGGTATTCTTCCCGGACGAGTTTCCGCGAATCCAATCGCCCATGCCTCGACAGGAACGGGAGGAGCGTGAAGCAATGGTTCGATTGTTGAGGAGTGTGTTCCGCTCCTTTCGGGTACCCGTTGTAATCAGCGCCACCAACGGGACTGCACGACGCATTTTTTTTTTGGAGAAAGATCCCGAGTTACATCGAGTTTTGAGGATAGAACCCCTTGGTGTGTTGTGGTTCCGTCACTTCCTGCATTCGTCTTAAATGAAGATGGCGTCGCAATCACTTCGGATTCGGTCGGAACACGCAGGACCGGCACTATACCTGCTGGACTCTTTTGGATCGTCAAACACAGCCGGCCACTTTTCGCGAGGGAAGTGTGGGAATACATGAGCCGGCACCGTGACTATGGCGAGACTCCGGAGGACTGGCTTCATTACTTGAGCGATATGACGAAGTACTTGGCACCGCATATCCGAAGCCTCAAAGCCCGCATTCGGTCTGTCGAGTCTGAGCTTGGACAAGTCAGCATGTTTCTCGGGTCCACCTGCAGCGTGGACAACAGCTATGCTAATCTGGTCGACGGCCACTTTGCATGCCTTAGCGAGTCGAAACCCTTTGAGCTCGATTTGGGTAGTGGAGACATACTGTTTCAAGGCGACAACCAGTGGACAGCTCGCTGTCAGCTCCCGCCGCCGGAGAGGGATATATTGCTGCATCTGACTCTGATGGGAGACCACGATAAGATATTCGATGACTCTGGCGAGGACGAGGAGGGGGACGGGATGTTGCGGCCACTGAAATGTTCACTGTACCATTCGCTGCAAGACAACTTTTTCCGAGGTACAGACCTCCGCGGTATGCAAGAGCTAAATAGCGGTAGGGCGCTCGAAAGTCTTGTTGCCGGCGCAGTCGTTCTTGCAAGCCATCGCGAGAAATTTTGCGGGGTGAAATTCCCAGCGTTCTTGGGCAGACAGCTCTACGAATTGGGCGTGGTGGACAACATCGACGCGGAGGTTGATATTCCATCAAACCATGCCAAGAATGCAAGCACGATCCCGTTTCTGTCAGTGCCTAACACGGAGTGGCCGAGTTCGTTTGTGGATGCGTGGCGGGGTAGCGGTGCCCAGTTCGGCAATCTGTGCTGTGTCGCTGACTCGGACCGTGTGAGTGGGGATTCCGAGCGGAGCGAGTACGGATTCGTTGCAAGCGAAGCGGGAAAGGATGCTTGCATTCTTTCCGGCGAGTGCAGAGATGACAAGGAACCTTTAGACGGGCAAAGTCTTGTAAATGTGCTGCAGCGTGTTCCTGGTAATTCTTCCATTCACTTGGTGGTGGTGCGAAAACTGCAAGATTCATACTTTCGCGACCTCCCAGATCCAGCGTCTGCAGCGTGTGTTGCCTTGGCGAGTAATGCGCTGACTTTTATCGCATTTCGAAAGAGGGCGAGCTGGAGGAATTCGCGGAGCTAATGGCAGCCAAGTCGGCCTTCAATGGTTTATCGAAGGAAACGAAAAGGGAGAAGGGGGATGCAGAACTGGTTATGTTTATTGAGATTGGAGATTGGGTTAATGCAGCAGAGGGGTGCGAGGTAGAAGTGCCGAGACTGAAGAAGGAGATGATGGCGTGAGATCAATAGTTGTTAGTCCTGGCGTGGACGAGTACCGGTCTGTCTACAGTAGCTTTTTTCTTAGGTAGCATTGTTGTCATTTCGATAATACTTCTTCAAGTACATGCTGGTCGGTTCACCTCGAGGACTTAAAAACTTGCTGAGATCTGTTGTAGGTGGATGAATAAGCCCAAGAACTGAAAGCCATGAAGTTTAAAAGCTCGTAGTAGAACAGGCGTAGACACAACAGAGCGAGTCACATGCGATCGAGCTACGGCGCGCCCACCACCTCGGAGGAGACCACGGAGGTGCCTACTACACGTATATAGTGAAATTGCTGGGTTCGATTCTTCTAATAACGATGAGACGGACGAGCACGTAATAAAACTAGCTCAGATTCAAATATTCGGGAAAAGGGTACAGAGTTTTGAATGAACTCGAAGAGACATAAGTTTCAGTCCACTTAATGAGATGTTGGGTAATCCTGGAAAACTCACCAACGCCAACCGAGTTGCGGATCTGGATACAATAGCCTGATGCATTGTTTTAGGCTGAGCGATACCAACAGAATTTGCTGCTTTGACCTTATTATATATTCGAATTCGAGCATTTCGTCTTGCCTGCTGTTGTATCCCAATCTCCAATCTCAATAAACACAACCAGTTCTGCATCCCCCTTCTCCCTTTTCGTTTCCTTCGATAAACCATTGAAGGCCGACTTGGCTGCCATTAGCTCCGCGAATTCCTCCAGCTCGCCCTCTTTCGAAATGCGATAAAAGTCAGCGCATTGCACGTTAGCACTCGCCAAGGCAACACACGCTGCAGACGCTGGATCTGGGAGGTCGCGAAAGTATGAATCTTGCAGTTTTCGCACCACCACCAAGTGAATGGAAGAATTACCAGGAACACGCTGCAGCACATTTACAAGACTTTGCCCGTCTAAAGGTTCCTTGTCATCTCTGCACTCGCCGGAAAGAATGCAAGCATCCTTTCCCGCTTCGCTTGCAACGAATCCGTACTCGCTCCGCTCCGAATCCCCACTCACACGGTCCGAGTCAGCGACACAGCACAGATTGCCGAACTGGGCACCGCTACCCCGCCACGCATCCACAAACGAACTCGGCCACTCCGTGTTAGGCACTGACAGAAACGGGATCGTGCTTGCATTCTTGGATAGGTTTGATGGAATATCAACCTCCGCGTCGATGTTGTCCACCACGCCCAATTCGTAGAGCTGTCTGCCCAAGAACGCTGGGAATTTCACCCCGCAAAATTTCTCGCGGTGGCTTGCTAGAACGACCGCGCCGGCAACGAGGCTCTCGAGTGCCATACTGCTGTTTGTCCCGTGCGTACCACAGAAAACCTCACCTCGGAAAAAATCGTGTTGCAGTGCATGGCGCAGCGGACTGCTGAGTGGTCGCAACACTGCGTCTTCTTCCTCGTTCACTTCAGGGGCATCAGAGTCATCACAGTCCTCACAGTCATCAGTTATCTTGTCGTAGTCCCCCGTTAGCGTCAGATACAGCAAGATATCCCTCTCCGGTGGTGGGAAAACGCAGCGGGACCTCCACCGCTTATTGCCTTGAACAAGTCTGTGACCACTACCCCAAATCAAGCTTGAAGGGCTTCAACTCGCTGAGGCATGCTAAGTGGCCGTCCACCAGATTGGCGTAGTTATTGTCCACTCTGCAACTCGAACCAATAACCAGGCTGACTTGTCCAAGCTCAAATTCGATGCTGTCTTTGAGGCTCCGGATATACGACGCTAGGTACCCCGTCATATCGCTCAAGTATCGAAGCCAGTCCTCCGGTGTTTCTCCATAGTCACGATGCCGGTTCATGTAATCCCATGCTTCCTCCGCGAAGCGTGGTCGGCTATGTTCGAAGATCCATGACAGACCAGGGGGTATGCAAGTACGGCGTGCACTTGGCACGTCTGAATTGGGCGATATACCGCCATCATTCAAGACAAACGCAGGAAGAGACGGAACCACCACGCACCAAGGGGCCCTATCCTCATAACTCTGTTAGAGCCAAAGTGGCGAGGCCAGCCGGAGGGATAGATGAAGGTGGTGGAGCCGAGTGTGCTCTATAGGGAAAAACACGAAGTGTGTTGTATTTGAGTGACTTTAGGTTGTGGTATCTGCTTGATGTGCAGGACCTCCACGTGAGACCGCCACGTGGACACGAGTGTGGTGCTTGAGCTTGGTCTGGATGTCCCAACAAACTCGACGTACACCGAGATCTCTCCCCCCAAGTAAAAAGATTCCGTGCAGTCCCGTTAGTGTCGCTGATTACAACAGGTATCCGAAAGGAGCGGAGCACATTCCTCATCTATCGAGTCATTGCTTCACGCTCCTTACGTTCGTGACCACACAAGGACGCCTTGATGCGAGGAAACTCGTCGAGAAAGAACACGAACGGTTTGCCTCCGTTCATTTGTTTTCGGCGGTCGAGAGCTTCTTCCACTTGTTCCCGCCTTGCTCGGCCTTGAAAGGTGTCGTCGCCACGGACCGCAGCGGCGATGAAAGCGTACTCGTACAGCTTAGTTGTTATCCCAAACTAAAAGTCACCAACGGACCCAGTCTTCAATACCTCCAGGTCTTTGCTGAGGCACTCCACAAACGTGTTCGAGCGCGTAGCGAAAGCTCGATACACATCTTGGTCCCGATCGGCTACTGGTGTGCACAGCACGTAGAACACGTCACAAGCCTCCGTGGTCTCAAGATTGAACGCCATCTGCGTCTTGCCGGTGCCCGACGAGCTCTCCAGCACAATAAATCGCATTGGACTTGGAGATTCGCTCGCGGCCTCGATAACTCTCACTATGTCCTTCACTTCGGTCGAGTCTTTGAGAACTTGCGCAGTGTTTCGGTAGGTTTGGACGGCAGAAAAATGTTCTTGGTCAATAGCTAGGCGGTGTATCTTTTCGGTTGGTGGCACCTCCACGATGAGCGCAGACGCCCTTGTTTGGCCAAGCGATCTAATCTGCGAGTAAAAATCTAAAGACTCGTTCAAGTCGTACGCCGTCTGATCCTTGAACACGGTGAGTTGACTCGGTCTTGAGCCGGCGAGAATGCCCTGGTTGGCATGAAAGACTTTACGCTGCAAAGTCGCAATGGTGTCCTCTCCGGGCAGAAGGATTGACACGGGGCGGGTGTTCCCAAATGCAGCGCGAGTTACGGCATCCTTTAGCTGAAACCAGACCATCGGCACCACCACAACGAGCGGGTGATGCCGATCCCCCCCGTAGGCGTCCAGATTCGTGTGGACGGGAAGGGGCTGCTGCAATTTGCTGCTCGGGAACACTTGGAGGTCGGAGGCAATGGCCCTAGAGTGTAGAAATCTTTTGTAGCCATCCAGCAACGCCATGCAAAACCCTGCAACATGAGTACCAGCAGGAAGCTCCAGATAGTGCACCATGCCTAGGGACCTACGGCCGTTTGCTCCATGAACCAACCGGAAAAATATCATCTTTCCTGTTTGGCTTCCCACCCCTTCGGAATATTTCTGAATGGGAGAGCTACCCCTTTGGATATTGGGGGGGGGGTCGATAGACAGCTCTTTACCATGTCAGGTCAGAATGTCACCGGACGATAGGCACAACTTGATCAATTACAGTGATCACCCTTCGTCGTGAAAGTTGTCCACCCGTTGTCGGCATGAGTACCAATTGTTTTCAAGTTGCCTCTTGATGTAGGTTGATTTTGCGTCATTAACATTTTTCTTGGCTCACGTTCACTCAATACTCAGAAGCTGTGAGAGAAACTTGGTCAATATACGTACGAATCTTGGTTTCCTACAAACTAAAAAAAATAAAAGCTCCTCCAAAAAGACTTGACGCTTGACTCGCTCTCGCCTTTCGTCTTCAACCTTCCGAGTCCGATCCATCCACGAAGTGTTGAAGCTCATTCCACGAGGTGAAATCGCGTGCGTTGCTTGACTGTCGATGACGAGCCATGCGCTCTCGTGCTCCGCGCTGCCCATTCTTCTCGATCCAAGTCGCGAATGCATTTAGCGGGCAAACCGATGCAGCAGTCGAAGTCGTCTCCGACATCCCATTCGAGCTTGACTGGCGACGGCGTAACGTTAAAGAACGTGTCTGTCGCTGGGTTTCATCAGTTCGGCGCCGATAATCAACAGCCCTCTCCAGTAGCCTCTGACTTCGGCGTAGTGTGCGCAGGTACACGTCCACAGTTATCATGAAAACCCAAGGAAACCGTGGATGTTACCGTGTACCACAATCTGGTAACACGATTCCTGCTCATGAGACCCCCTTCGCCAGGAAGCCTGAAAGGACCCGATAAAATGTTACAGGTGAAGCTTTGGGATCTTGACTTCAACATTGCTTTTGAAGACGAGCTTTGACCATGCGTTGGCTATCGTGGGATAGATAGATAGCCTTATGCGGTAAATGATCTGTGGGGTAAAGCTATTCATAGTCGAGCACTGTTGCAATATTGCCTCATTCCTCGATTTTCTTCAGAAGCCGCACCCAGTCGTCTACGTACACGCTAGCACTTCCTCTTCGTCAGTATCGCTGTTTCCCCGTCTCCAACATAACAACGATGCTTGGCTGACTCTCTCGGGTACTTCGACGTCGCCAACGGCAGGGACAAAAGGGACCAGGCAAGGTCTAGTGCCGTTGGCAAGTCTGGTTGACGAGCGATCGGTGTAGACGAAGGAGACAGCAACAGCGACGAGGAAGTGGGGTAGACTGATGATGAAGGCGGGTGTAGCATAACATGTAGTGAAGCCGACGTGGAGAGCTATAGCGCGACATTCCAAGCCTATTAAATATAGGGGGTAGTAGGTAACTGTGACCATTGTGAACCAAGCGGTACCAATGTTACTGTTACTGTGTACCTCGCCGAGGAAACAGTGGATCTGCACACACTACTTCGGCGCTCGCGCTGTCGACTATGACGCGTGCTGCCATCATCGTTACGCTGGCCACTGGTGTGTGAGCGCTCACTGGGCACGGCGTTGCTTTGCTTGCCTTCTGCATCAACATTCGTACGAGCTGCAGGAGACCTTGGTGCCGCAACGTCCGACACGCCGATAATTGAGCGCTTCAGACGATGGAGCTCCACCAGCAATGCCACATCTCGGTTGGAGTGTAGCCGCACGTTGGACGCTCGACAGAACGGGCACGATAAGCTTTGGTCAAGCACTTGCAATATTGCCTGGGACGAGACCGTCTTCCCACAGCATTCGCTGACAACCGTGTCATCAAACAGATCGCGCGAGACCGGACACGTCAAGACTGCCGCGCGCTCTCGGAGGTGGGCCAGACTAACGTCACGATACGCTTGCGCTGCATCGCTCGCTTGTTCCAGAAGTTGGGCTCGCTCGCGCTCAAACTCACGCAACTGCTCTTCAAGACGCTGGTTAACACCACAGGCTGCGGTGTCATCAGTAGGTAGGGGAGTTGCAGTGGCCTCTACATCACTGGTGTCGAGTTGTTCGGTAATACACCTTTGCTCTTGGTCGTCAGTTTCTTCATGATTCCTTGCCATTTGTTCAGGACGTTGCATTCGTTCTTGCTCAAGCGGCGTGTTTCGGTCTTGCAACTCCATCCCAAGCTGCTCCACACTCCTCTGAAGCCGCTCCTGGTTCTCGTGATCACGTCGTCGCTGCTCCATAAATCGATTCGTAGCCTCCGAGAAGGCCGCCTGCTGCTGCCGAATCTGCTGTTGCAGTGTTCGCACTAGCTCTCGTAGCTGAGCTTCACCTTGGATGCCCTTGTTAAGCACTCGTTGCAGCTGGTCCGCGCGTTGGCGCTCTGCCACGTACGCAGTCTGTAGCTCGTTCACCTGCCGGTTTAGTCGAGCCACCACTTCGTTCTTGAGTTGAAGAGTTTTCCCCACGGCCGCTAGCTGCTGCATGTGTTGAACCTTTGCTCTCACAGATGAGCTGCACTCACTTCGCAGTTGTTGCTCAAGATCTCTGAGCTGCTGCTCAAGGAAACGAATGCGTTCAGTGGCTTCAGGCTGCGTAGACGACATGAATTCTTCGCGTAGAGTTAGGAGCTCTTGTCTTTTGAGAATGAAATGCTGAGCAAACAAACCAACGGTCGTTGTGCTTATTGTTGAACGCCTCGTCTCATCATCCGAGCGCCCGCGCAGCAGTGTGGAGCTCCTCCGCACCTCAGCGTCGTAGGTATAAGATCTAGGTATTATCGCCGTTGCAGAGTACGTGGTTGCATTTTGTTGCTGGACTGTAATGATTAGGTAAGAGGGGGTTGGAGGATCTCGGGAAGTCCACTGGCAACACCGTTCCCTGGCTGCCACGCCTTCACAACTACTATGATGTACGCTCAAGCATAAAATTTACTACATTAAAATGTACATGTAGTACCGTTACGAGCTATTTGTCCCTCTTAGTTTACGTCTGCCAACTTCATCGTAACTCCGTGCCCTACAACGGCTGCACCTCTGAGTGGAACAGCTCCACGGACTGCATGCACGCGTTCGTGCAGTCATTATGCCGATATTTATGCTTGCTGCCAGCGGCCAACTACAGGCACATCGCTTCGTGTGTGAACAAGAGGCTACTTACCCTACCGCACCATGCAACTGCATCGTTTCGGCGCTCAACGTTGCCACCGCGTCCGCGGCAACGATGCCGCTGTGACCTGAACACTTTTGGCCAATTGTATGGCGCAAACTAGTGTCCGACAAACTGTCTTATGTTTTGACAGACAATATGCAATGTAGCCACTGGTATACAAAAACCAAGATGTAGTCAAAACGCGTTGATCGGAAAACGTAAGACGCTGTCTTATGATAGGCATTCTGGGGCTAAGTATCGTCTTACGAAAGAGCATTAATCACTCTTGCAACATACCGCAAAGTCGAGAACTACAGTAGCTGTCCAGTGGCGTCTTAGAGACTTAGTAATCCGAGTCCGAGTCGAAGTATCCGTATCCGTACGGGTAAGGATTGAAGCCGTCGTCGAGGGGTGCGCGGCCATAGCCTGTGGAAGTGCTCGACTGCGTCGGCGCGGTGTTTGAGCTCGGGGCAGACCGATACGATGAACTGTCAACGTCCCGTGGCACCCAGCTTCGGATATAGGAGTAGTCGGTGCTACTAGCTGGCGCCGCCGCATTTGCCGTTGAAGGGCGAGAATCATAAGACCACGACTGGGCCGACGGTGTGCTTTGCGCGCCACTCGCACGCGAGCTAGCCGACGGCGTTGGGGACGAGCTTGTACGTGAAGAACGATGACGGCGAGGGTTCGAATTCCGTCCTCCTCGACGCCGTCCTCGATTGCTGCCCGGTGGAGTAGAAGTCGACATCGTGTTCGATTGGGTGGTTGTCGAGGACGGACGATGAGGGACGGCAGCTCGAGCTTGGACGCGTTGGTTGCGCTGGTTCCTGCTCTGGCTTTGACGCGCGGCCACCGCCAATTGACGCAATTGAGTGGGTGATTCCGTTGCTGCTGTTGCTCTTTCCTCCGTCACCACTCTCGCTTCAGCAGCCGCCGTGGCGCTGGCTGCAGCAGTATCCGGCAGCCCAAGGAGTGAGCGTTCATGGCGGTGCAGCTCCACCAGATTGGCCATGTCCCGATTGGCATAACTCGCCACTCTGTGAGCGCGACACACGGGGCACTGCGAGTTGCGCCTCAGCGCCTGGTTCAACGCTTCGGACGAAAAGGTCTTGCCGCAACATTCAGTCACCACTGGGTTCTCGAACAGATCCAGGGATATCGGACACGTGAGCGCCGCCTCGCGCTCCGTCAAGTTCCTGCGACTGATGTCCTGCTGCGTATCGGCTGCGGCACTGGCTTGCTCCAGCAGCAGCGCTCGCTCCGCGTCGAACTCCGTCTGCAGCTGCGTCAGTCTCTGGGTCAGATCTTGCGTACAATTGGGACTCTGCGCCAGCGTCACCGTCCGCGTGCTGGTAGCAGCACAAGCAGCGGCAGCAGAGTCCTGCGACAAGTCCACGTGCTGGCCTCGCTCCCTCTCGTAGGCGTCCAACAGGCCGCGTAACTGCGGTAGCACCCTATTGAGGGATGAATTTAGCTCGCTCTGGGCATTCAACGTGACGGTCGCCTGCTGCTGCAGACGCGCGCGCTCCTGCTCGAACTCGGCGCTCTGGTCCAGCAGCTGCTTCTGCAGCCTCTCGACGGAGGCCTGGAGCTGCTCTCGCTCTTGGGCGGTATTGTCCTCCTCTCTGCTGCTCTGCTGCGAGCCGACGAACGTCTCGAGGCGACTGACCAGCTCGTTCTTGCGCCGCAGAGCGCGCTGCATCTCGTGCGGCGGCCGGTTGCCGTAGCACTGGTTGATCACGTAGCCGAGCTCCAGCAGGAGGGACATGGAGTCCTTGGCCAGCCCCAGCATGAGCTCCTTGCGCGCGATCTGCTGCTGCTGCCGCCCGCGCGTCTGCACCATCTTCAGGCTCAGGTGCACTTTTTGGAAGTGACGTTTTAGGACCATTTTTTTCCATTTTATAGATTTTCTACTGGGGAAATGACCCATTTCAGTACAAAATAGGCACATCCACTTCAACTTGCCCTATTACATGTACTGCAACCTAATCAAAATCAGTGGGCGGCTCGAGCTTGCTGCGTAGCAGGCACTTGGACCCGGTCTTCCAGCGGTACGTAAAGTCCTGGACGAACAAGTTGGCGGCTCGACAGCCTCGCAGATGCAGCAGGAACTCCTCGTTGAACTCATGCAGCGCCGCGTCGGAGAAGTCGGCCGAGCCCACGCACACGTCCTGCAGGTTGGCGACCACGTAGTTGAGGTTCATCTTCTCGCACGTGGCCTTGCGGTAGTTGACCTCGATCTTGTTGCTGGCGATGAACAGCCGTGGCCACTTCGGGTCCGCGTAGGCGTGCTTAAAGTCTCCAAGTAGACTTTGACGTGGACGTCCCGGTCCGCTGCTGCCAGAATCGCTTTGCCCAGCTCGTCCTCCGCCACGGAGCGGACGGCCACGTGCAGCGTGTTCAGGGCCCCGTTGACGCACTCCAGTAGAGTGGACTGTAGGGTGGCGCGCGGTGGCTGGGTGGGATTCTCCCCTGCATCAGTAGGGGCGTCCTTCCTCGGCGGGTGGAAGACCACGTCGACGAGCAGATCGTCCTCCGGACGAGGGGGGTCGACGGGTGCAGGGTGCGGCCCGGGGCGGCGCGGCTCGAGGTCGTGTCGGCCCTTCCACAGACCCGTCATCGTTCCTTGGCTACGGTGGAAGTGCTCGGCAACGTCTTTGAACGGGACGGCGGCCTTGCCGTAGGTGTCGTCGATGTAGTGCACGATCTCGAGCCGCTGCGAGCGATGAGCCACTTGCAACGCGGCAGTTCTCCGCGCCGCTGCCTCGTTGCCGAGGTGCCACCCACGCATGGTGGGGCTGTGTGCCGAGGGGCGCGACTGGCGGCGCGCGCTGCCAGGGCTGTCGGAGCCGTCAGAGCTGCTCATGCTCACGTCGTCCGCTATCTTCGCGCGCGCTTGACATCCTTCTCTTCCTCGATATACTGGGGGGGAGTGAAATTTAACAACAACGAAATTTAACAACAATGTGGTGTCGACCAGCTGAAGGTATCCGATAGTGAACGAGGATTTGTGTCTGGACTTTCGTAGTTGCATGAAAGCCTCGTTGCTAGTACTTAGTACACTTTAGTCGGTGTCGGAGGAGCTATCTAAGGTAGAGGGGACAAAATCTCGTCGGAGAGCTCTTCGCCGCCGGCGAGCACTTTCATCCACCTGCCTGTCAAATGCCTGAAGATAATCGACCTCGTTCACTGATAGGCGGCGATAATAATCTGAAGCTCTCGCGAGTAGTTCACGGGCTGATAAACGTGGTGTGGCAGCAGCACTTGGAGTTCGGGAGTGGCGACGAGCTTCCCGGGATTGCATGGCTGTAGACACAGTTTCTGAGTCCGTACGGGTGGAGTGTCGATGGTGAGGGACTTCTGAGCGTTCGTGAACCCGCTCACTGCGATGCGCACGGTGGCGACTTTGGCGAGTAGTAGAGTGTCTTTCTCTATGAGATCCGCTTCTAGACGTCGAAGTAGTCGAACTCGCTGTGCTGTTCGCACCAGTTGTCGCAGTCGCTGGGCTCGGAGGTGGGAGGTCCGGCAACCCGAGCACAGAGCGTTCAGCACGATGCAGCTCTACAAGCTTCGCCACGTCACGGTTTGCATGGACTGATGCATTAGGCGAACGGCAAAAGCCACAAAACAAACTCCGCCTCCGTGCTTGGCTCCATGCATCGGACGAGAAGGTCTTGCCGCAGCATTCGGTCACGACGGGGTCCTCAAACAGTTCCAGCGAGATGGGGCATGTCAGCACTGCCTCACGCTCCATGAGTTGTCGCCTGCTCACATCCTGCTGAGTTCTAGCTGCGTCACTCGCATGCTGCAACAACTGGGCTCGCTCTTGATCAAACGCGCTACGCTGCTCATTCAGCCGGTTGCTCAAGTCTTCTCCAGGTGTTGCAACCTGGATTGCAGGTGTAGGGTCAAGGAAGCTCTCCGAACAGCTATTGCCGCGTTCATACGCCTCCATCAGCCAGCGCAAGTGAGGCATAGCACTCTCCATTGACGAGTGGATGTCGCCATGGCTACAGTTTCGTTGACTGCCTTGTCGGGGCACTCGGGTCCGCTCTTGCTCTAGCTGTTCCTGCAGCCGTTTCTCGAGCTCCTCCACTGTGGTTTCAAGACGCAACTTGTCCGCGTTCGCCTGCCTTTCAACTTCCAACAGTCTCGCGTTCGCCTGCCTTTCAACTTCCAACAGTCTTGCCTCGGCTGATGTTTTCTGGTCGCGAATGTGTTGCTGAAGAGTCTCGATTTGTGCCTTCAGCTGCACCTCCTCCTGCACTTGCCCGGCGCTGCTGTCGACCGCACGCTGCAGCTCATCAGCGCGCTGTCTTTCCACCTCACACTTGGTCTTTTGCTCTCTAAGCTGCCCCTGCAGTTGCTTGGCGTCGCTCTCCTTGCGTTGCAGAGTCCCCTCCATCTGCCTGATCTCCCACCACAAGCGCTCGGTCTTGCTCGCATGCGCTTGGCTCTGCTGCTCCAGTTCTCGCTCCAACGCCCGTTTCCCTTGCTCCAGCTTCTCGTTCTGCTCCTGCAGTTGCTGCACGCGCCTGCGGAGAGCTGGAACGATCTCGGGCGCTGCGGAGGCGGGGTCGTCCGCGCCGTGGATGCTGCTCCGGTCATGATACGATCTACGATGGAGAGAGGATAGTGATTGGCTGACTGTGGTATCCGCAGGCCTCCCTAATTGGGGGCCCATTTCCCCCACTATACCTGTTAAGACCCGTTCCCATCCCCCACAAAAATACTATGGATCTGAGGTGACTTCATGTTGGCAAGCTATTTTCAGATAATTATGTGGCTTGATAAGCATCGAGCTCACTCAGACCCCAAACAAACAGGAACATACCCAGGTGGAAGCGTGTTTCTCCGGTAATGGATCGACCCCCAAACCATCCCCACTCATCATAAATATTGTCAAATTTCCGTAATTGGTGGTATTGGCAAGTAGCATTTAAGCTCAAACGGACGGCGAGCTGACCGCGAACTGGAAGAGGCCGTTGGTCTGTAGGCGATGCTACAGAAGAATGCAAGTTTAGGAGCAGTTTTATCATAGGCTATGTTAATAAATTACATACTTAATTTAACTAAAGCGGCGTCAATTCGTAAGCCCTACCGATCAAGCAAAGTTACAGAGCTAGTCAAAACTTTTATCATGATTAGTGATATATAATTCTTCCGCTGACATTCGTTTCTAGCTAATTCGGATGAACCGTAACACTTTGAATATCGTAGGTTGAATCCAAATTAGCACCGGCTATGCCAATCCCTAAGATATTTATCTTACTTTCACTATCGTCCCCCACCATACCCATTTTAAATCCTCAAGTCGTCCCCCTATTAATCTAATTGGGGGAAATGCAGGATTTCCCCCCTATTAGGGGGGTATCCGTCCGTACCTCTGCCCGACGGACGTCATGTAATGCACAACTTCAATTATGGCTTGAAATAAACCTCTTCGAGTTACGACAAGGAAAGTCGACGCGAGAAGCTGTGTAGATTTAGCTTTAGTACTGTGCTGCGCAGGCGCAGACTCCGCGCGACGCGTGACAAGATGGCCGACTCGGACGAGCGGCTGGCCGAACGTACGGCGGCGATGCGGCTGGACAGCGCACCGCCCCCCTCGCGTCCGGCAGACCTGGAGATCCTGATCCCCAACCCCTTCGAGCGCAGAGACGACGAAGGCCACGGTGCGAGTGACGCCGAGATGCCTACGGCGAGCCCGAGGCAAGGACCAAGGGATGGAAGGATCGCGGCGGCGCCGGCGCTGCCGCAGCCCCCGATGTACTTGGGGGGCACCATGCAAGACCGGCGCGACTTCATGCACAAGTACGAGGCCTACTTGGTGAAGGTGAACGTGCTGCAGACGGAGTGGACAGCAGCGCTGGCCATGCCCGTGAGCGCGTGTATCGAGACGGATACACGACGCATGATCGCTCGCTGGGAGTTCAGCGGAGCCTCACCCGAGACGATCACGGAGGAGCAGTGGAAGGACTACTTTCGCCAGGCTCTGGTGACTACCTTCGTGGACTACGCGTCGATCGACACGGCCATGAAGTCCCTGAAGATGCAGACGAAGTGGCCGGAGCCTGAGAGTCGCATGATGCACTTGCAGGCCGACATGGAAGCCATCCTCAACCGCTTCAACGTCACGGACCTGATGTTCAAGCACGAGCAGCGCCGCCTGGTCGGCTACCTGACGAAGGCTCTCGAACCTGTGAGCTTCCGCGAAGTCGTGGCGACCAAGCTGACGCTGCAGGAGTTCAAGCCGTTGGCGAACGACGCCATCGGCTTCTGCAGGTGTGGTGTAGTACCCCGCGGAAGAAGTGGGCGCGCCGGGCGCGGAGGAAGAAGGCGCCGGGACGCGAGTGATGGACTTCGACGCGGCTGATGGAACGCGACGCGGATTGATGGGCGCGACGCAGGGCCGAGCTGGACGGGAAAGTCGGCGTGGGTGATGGGCCGTGAGACACGGTGCCAGAATCCAGTGGGACGCGTAATCATCCGACGGGTCGACCAGTGCACCCGGTTCTGCAAAACGCGCCGACCCTAACCCCGCCGAGCAAGACGCGCCGACCAAAACGCGCCGACCCTAACCCCCGCCGACCAAAACGCGCCGAGGTAAGATCTTGATTGCGCCACGCAAACCAGGTTGAAGGACGGCAGTGCAAGCACGACAGAAGTAGGGATAGGCCCAGAGCGGTAGGCTTAGCAAGCAGTAGTACAGAGTAGCCAGTAGCAAGTAGCAAGGACATAGGATAGGGTAAGGACTCAGTCCCGAAATTTCTCTGAACCACAAAGACCTCCCGTCTTCTCCGAGGTTCCAGGGGAACCACCAAGCGCAGGCAAGTAGAGCCGCCTCGATATCGCGGCCCCTCGTCGTTTGCTGATTCGGGTGCTCAACCCCCACAGACCCGTGCTGGAACAAAGGCACGTTAAACGTATACCGTTTAGGTGGGCGCCCGATAACGCGCTGCCTAGGCGAAGGACCGCACTGGCCTGATAACCGCCGTGCACAAGACCCCCCGTGTAGGCCCGATAACGCGACACAAGCCCCAGGAAACGCCGGCCCGATAACGCCGCACGCCCAAGGCTCGACGCCCTACGAGAAGGAACAAGCGTCAACACAAGAACCTCCCCAACTCCGAAGCCTGCGAATACTTGGGCCTGTATTTCGAAGATACGCTACTCCAACAACCGGGAATAATTCGCTCGGCGCGACCGCTATCCAGACGCGCCGAGTTTGTGCGAGATCGCATTCGCGAGATTTCGGCGAGGGCGCTACTCCACAATGGTGCCGCGACCCGGGAGTACTACTTCGAATGACGGGCTAACGATCCAAGAGGCATCGGAGGCAGGTGCGCAGTCGGCTGGAAGGTCGCCGACCGCAAGAGAGCACAGTGAGAGACCTGTCGCATCGTGGAGCTCTGAGGGAACCGTCACGACAGGCCACGGGGCCAGCGACGACCAGGAGGGCTACGAAGAACAGTTTGCCGTTCCCGATGCGGCTCCCAACGAGGGAGCCGCGAAGGGCCGCGACGCAAGTCGCGGTCCTACCGGTCGGAAGTCTGCAAAGGACGACGACCAACAACAACCCACCGCCAAGGCAGCCACGAAGCGCAAGCCGCCCAAGAGGAAGAAAAAGAAGCTGCGCGCGCCGGACTCGGCGGAGGAGTCGCTGTCCAAGCTGCAAGGCAAGGGCACGGGACGTCAGTACACCGTCGAGGAGGTACGGTACGTCGTGGCGCGCACGGAGCTCTTCCGTCTGCTAGAACAAGACCCAATCTTGGTCTTCCTCAAGCCCATGCTGATGAGCAACTTCACAGGCCCCTTCGTGGCGCCGGACTTTGATAGTCTCACCAGCGTTGCCCACGCCGCGCCGACTCTCTTCCAGATGCTGCGTGACTCGGGGTTCGTGCTGGGGGCTTTCGAGATGGAGAGGCTGTGCGATTGGGACCTCAAATCTTGGTTACGTGCGGTTCGCGTCGTGCAGGAGCCCTCGCCAATTCTCGCCGGATCCGTCAAACAAGACGCGACGAGTTCCGCGACGGGCCAAGAGGCGCCGAGCCCCTCGGCGGGTCCAGCCCAGACTTCGACGACCACGCCCTCGCCTCCATCTCGATACCAATCGAGCGTGGACTCCGACAGCAGTTTCGAGTCGCCCAAGCGCATGCCCATGAACCGGCCGCCGCGCGTCATGCAGCTATCCGCGACGCCCATACGCACAGAGGTGACGAAACCCGCCGAGGAGGTGCTTCCCAAGGCCTTGAGAGAATCTATCATCAAGCTGATGCAGACGACAGTGATGAACACCCCGCGCGCCGACACAGCCGCAATTCCGACGGGGCCGAAGCCGCCCGCGAATCCCACACCCACGGTGACTCGCCCCCAGGAGGCAGCGGATGTTGCCACGGAGTCGGTCAGTTCGCGTTCTTCGACGAGGTCCAGAACTCGACGCGACGCGGACGAGGACCCCGATGACCTGTTCGACTTGGACATCGGAGTGCCAAGAACCACGGCCGCCGTCTCGACGGCGACAGCCGGCGGCGTAGCCCCCGCCCGCCTACGCCTCTCAGCATCTTCCGAGCTGAAAGAGTTCTCGGGACGGGACGCCAGCGAAGAGAAAGCCAGACTGTGGCTCAACCGTCTGAAGTCCGCCGCGCCGCGCGACGGGATGACGGGCGAAGAAGTGTGCGGGCAGTTCAGCGATCTAATGAGCGGCCATGCGCGCCAATGGTATCTCCAGTTGCCCAAGAAGGTCAAGAAATCATGGACCGAGCTGATGGAGCAATTCCGGGTGCAGTACTGCGGCAAGGGCGTGTCAATGGCCAGTCGCTACTACCATGCGGCTCAGCGCCCCGACGAGACCCCTCTGGATTACTTGTACCGGCTCAACGTCGCGGGCTTGAGGGCCAACATCCCATACGCCGAGGGCACGACTGAAGAGAAGCGCGAACACGTCGAGCATTTCATCCGGACGCTGAACACGCAGGAGGCCGAACTCGCCTCGCGTCTGATGCTGATGGAGGTCGCCGACTCCGAGGCGCTGGACAAGAAGCTGCGTGCCCGACAACGTGGATTGGCTCACCAGAAAAAGACTCTCTTCGGCTCGAACAAGTTCCGCCAAAAGGCGCCGACCCCGCCGACTCAGCCGGCGCGCGCCGTGCATGCGATCCACGTCGCGTCGGACGAGTACGACTCGGAACGCGAAAGTCGCGACAGCGACGATCGCCAGTGCGACCAAGACGAGGCGGACGAAGAACGCGCCAAGTTGTTCGTCGCGGGACAGGCCCCGCCGGGAGAGCCGGCGCGTCGCAACTTCGATTCCGACGGCTCGGGACGCGACCGCCCGCGGTGCCGCTACTGTGGTTCACGTCGCCATGTCGAAGGAGACTGCTGGAAGTTGTTGACGTGTCAGAAGTGTGGTGGCCAGCACCCGACGGAGCGATGCGTGAGGGTGTGCAAGGCCTGCGGTGACGTGCCCGAAGCCGGAGAATGCCCGATGGAGGAGTTCTTCAACCAATTGCGCCAGTGGTTTGACCCGAATAAACACGCAGGAATGCTGCCGCCGGCCGCCGAGAAGATGTTAAACTAGGACGCTCGCTGGCTTGGAAACCAGTACTAGACGAGCGACCTGTTTCCGTCTATGCATATGTGACCAAGAAGTCGAGAGAGGTGGTTAGTGAGAGCCCGACTTCCCTGAATGATAATACATGTGAATCCAACCTGGTACGTACCACGCAAGAACGCGCCCCCCGAATCTCGGCGGTCCGACGTACGACGGACGACGAGTTTGCACGTGAACCACCCCTGGACGAGATCGACTTGCAACCAGGAGAGCGACGCGGATACTGGAAACATTACGCGCCGCACAAGTGGTACAAGCAGGCCAAGATTCATGGAAAGCTGAACAATCGCCGTGCTGTGTTATTGCTTGACACAGGTGCCGAGGTGTCCATCCTGGACATCACCTTTGCTCGTGAGGTAGGCTGCCTGATTGACACGGAGGTCACGCAAGAGTGTGTGGGAATTCGTGATGAGACATATTACACGGTGGGGAGAACCAGAGTCAAGATTACCTTGGCTGGAAACTTGGTGTACTACATGCACCTGTGGGTCGGTGACTTGGTCGGCCAACACGCAATCCTGGGAATGAACTTCATGGTGCCCGCTGGAGTGCGCATCGACACTGCGGACGGCACGGCGCGCCTCCCCGACGAGGTGCATATCCAGATGATCGGACGAAGACCGCTATACGGCGCACGGATGCACCCGGTCAACGTCAAGACGCCTGTGAGGCTCGAACCAGGAGACACGCATGAAGTCTTGCTGAGGCCGGATCGAAACGCGCCGTTCCTGTGGGTGACACGGGCAGAGTCGTGGGTGACTACCTTTGTCAAGGGGAGAGTCGGAAAGAAAACGTACCTGCGTGTCACGAACATCGGAGACGCAGCGATAACCCTCGACGCGCATGAAACGCTTGGGTGGTGGGCGCCGTCTGACGGCCAACCTCGGAACCGTGGATTCGTCCGACTGGGCTCCGCCCGGTACCAGCAGTGGCAGAATCTGGCGTACGGCACGACGCGCGACGCGGAGGAGAACTTGAACCCAGCCGAGCTCGACGGACCGACGACGGATCGCCCCTCATACCGACGCCTAAAGCCATCTTGCGCCCGGAGCCGAGACAACTCGGGCCGTGACCCCAGTGTTGGCGGCTGTCGCGGAAGCGCCGAAGGGAAGGGGGGTAGACTTGCCACCCGACGACCACAAGCCGGATACGGACGAGGAGGCGGTGGAAAGCGAACCCGATATGCCTCCGACTGTGGCTGGAAGCGCTGCGATGGAAGAATCGCCGGAGTCGGAACTCGCTGAGCCAAAACTCGACGGACCAAACCCCGCCGAGCCGAATTTCGACGAGGTGAAACCTGATGAGCAGGAAGAAGACGACGCGATCCTCATCCACGAGGGGTCCGACCTCTTCGTAGAGGATCTCGAGTCTGAGATGGCAGTGCTGCCAGACCTCTCGCTGACCGCCGAGGTGAAGATCGAGGACTTGAAGGTCGGCATGCCGACTGGACTCCCGCCCGAGGAAGCCGCGAGACAAGAAACGCGGCTACGCCAAATCATCTGGAAGCGACGGAAGTGGTTGATCGGCAAAGGCAACGCCTTGCCGCCGGCCGCCCTGGGTGTTGTCTGCGACATCGACGTGGGCGACGCAAAACCCGTCGCGCAACGCGTCCGGAAAATCCCGCCGCAGTTTCAAGAGAAGGTCGCCGACTTGATCAAAGGGCTGCTGAGCGCGAGGATGATCCAGAAGTCGAAGTCGCCGTGGGCGTCGCCCATTGTCGTGATCATAAAGAAGAACGGCGTCGATATCCGGCTTTGCATTGACTACAGGCTCATCAACGGGCTGACACAGTTGATGATTTACCCCATGCCGCTTGTCAACGACTTGCTCAAAGACTTGGACAAGTATCTGTGGTACTGCTCCCTCGACATGGCGAGCGGCTTCTGGGTCGTCCCCATGACAGACCGGGCCCGGCTCATCTCAGCCTTCATCACGCTGACGGGACTGTACGAATGGCTGCGTATGCCGTTCGGCCTGTGCAACGCGCCGCAGATTTACCAACGCTTGATCGACAACGCGCTCTACGGGTTCACGAAGCTGTCCCCGGATGGCAGCACTCGGGACGTCTTTGAAGACGGCGAACCGGTGAAGCCAGGTATTCACTCCATTCTGGGACGGAGGTCGTACAT